CTCCCCAACACTGTCTACAGTGACCATCAAAACGATGCCGTTAGCCTTACTTTAGTTATACATACATGTATTTTAGCCCATACAACCAACCAGCCTTCTGGATCCCGCAGAGTGGCTGTGAAATGTAAGAATTAATTTCTAATGATTTGCTGTTTTCCAGTGGTAACAGTGGCTAGACTGTCAGTTGAAAGCTATATCGTCTCCTGCTCTGTTGATTGAGACCTGCTTTCTTGTCTCAGTCACATGATTATAGCTTTTTGGGGGGTTCTTTACTGCCCCAATTCCAAAAAGATGGGACACTGAAATTTATTACATGTTTAACCTGAGAAAATATACTGTTTCTATTCAAACTAAGGTGATTTTGAATTTGATAGCAACAATATATAACCTCAAAAAAAGTTGGGACAAGTATAACAAAAAAGATGTTTACAGAGGGAACTCCAAACTTTCTGGAGATTGTTAGCTGCTGTCAAACTCAAGTATAATTTTTTTAAAATTATTTTCTCTTCCTGCATTTTCACTGTTTAAACATTTGACATGTTTGTATTCTGTTGTGAATTTGAAAAAAGTGGGTTTGTGTAAATCATTGCAGTTGTTGTGTTTTTGAAACTATAGTTAATTCAAGCCCTAAGTTACACTAACACCATTTTCGAGTCAAATCACACGATCAATGCCCTACATTGCAATGTTCTGCACACATGGTCTTTTTCTCCCATTACTCTTTTAAGCCCATCACGCTCTTTGATTCCATTAATAATTTTGCTCGCAATGAAGTTTGATCCTGAAATTAGCTGATATTCTAACTTGGGCTTTGTAGTGAAACATCCTGCCAATAAAATGCAGTGACGTGAAAGGAATGCAGGCTATCAGCCCTGTTGGCAGTCATGCACGTTAATCGGTTGGTCTGTAATGACCAATAAAGCAGTAATGGGACATATATCATTCCAAGTTCCTGTTTTTTGAAAGAGGACCATCTGGAATATTTAGTATTTAAAGTTATGATTTAAAAAAATCTTCATACATGTAGTGAATTCAAAATGTCAATTGAATTGAAAAAGTGGATTGAAAAGTCCATATGATGTGAATTTACTGGAAAGTTACCACAGTGAGTGGCCATAATGTGATCTACCTTCCTCATATTCTGTACAGGCAGCACCCTCATTAAATGGAGTATTTCTACTAGTGCCGTGTCTGAAATGGACTGTTTCCTGCTACGTTCCATTCTGTGGCCAAAAACGGGAAATTTGGACGATAATCAGACCTGATAATCCCAACTTTGGTCCCTGAGGGCAGTGGAAACAAGCTGTAAACACGAAACTGACATATTGTGTTGTCCTATTGTCCTTAAAAGATTGAAATGACTGAGTTAGTTCACAGTGGGTTTCTGTCGCTCACAGCTAAGTTTATCCGTAGCTAAAGACTTCAAACTTCAGTCAACAGTGACAGCGCCTTTAGGTGTATAAATGAATCAAATGAAAAACCACCTTGCTTCAACGTCATGAAACTTGCTGTGACTATCATTAGATACATACAGTTTTATGTATTTCAAACACTTCTCATTTACTGCTTTGTTTGAACTTTGGATTTCCCATTGTGCAATATAAAGTAGGGTATAATCTTACATTATATGGTCCCTTCAGGTGCTTGCTAGTGTGTGCCCATGTGAGACACAGATTACAATTAATCAGTCAGTTACTGTAGTTCCAGATAGCATTTAGTTATGTGTCTACAGAATCAATTTCTTCCATTCCAACTTATCCAGGACAATGGGCAAGATCAAAGACCCAAAGAATATTATGCTTACGGCCTAATTTTCTACTAAGGCTACATGACAACTTTAACTGCATTGATGGGCAAATGGACTGGGTCATGTACTGTAAAATATTGGATTCAGCCAGAATACTGAAGATCTATTGTGGGTCTTCCAGCCTGACGATGACCCAAAACATACCATGGCAATAAAGGAGAGGCTAAAGAAGAAAATTAAGCTCATTGCAGTGGCCTAGTAGCTGTGAAAATCTGTGGAGAGAGTTGCTAAGTGGCAGACAAGAAACCTTAAAGATTGAGAGTTTTTGTAAAGAGGAGTAGCCAAAATCTTTCCTGAGATGGGTGGAAACCTGGTGACCAGCATCGAGAGCAGTCTTACCGCTGTGCTTGCCAACAAGGGCTTTTCCACCAAGTACTAAGCCATGTTTTGCTTGGGGATCTAATACTTAGTCATTATCAGTGACATGCAAATCAACTTTTATGTAATGTGTTTTTTGGGAGAAGCATTTTTAGTTGATTATCTCTCTTTCTAAATTTTAAACTACCATTAAAAACGAGTAATAATAATAATGGATTGCATTTATATAGCGCTTTTCTAGGAACCCAAAGCGCTTTACAATTCCACTATTCATTCACTCTCACATTCACACACTGGTGGAGGCAAGCTGTTGTAGCCACAGCTGCCCTGGGACAGACTGACAGAAGCGAGGCTGCCATATCGCGCCATCGGCTCCTCTGGCCAACGCCGGGCGGTAGGGTAAAGTGTCTTGCCCAAGGACACAACGACCAGAACAGAGAGAACAGGGGGATCGAACCGGCAACCTTCCGGTTACAGATTAGCTTCCCAATCCCCTGAGCCACGGTCGCCCACGGTCGTGCGCGTTTAATTCTTTGCAAGTGAACATAACATAAATTCAGCAGGGGATCCCATAATTATTTCCTGCACTGAAGGAAACAAAGCTGATAATCTAAGTTGAGGAGAACATACACCCACTGGTGTTGAGTAAACAGATACACCCTCAGTGATATACGTGTTGCTGAACATAAGGCAAGGGGATGCCTCTGGCAGACTTTTGACCGACAATTGAGACGCACACATGCAAATTTGTTAGAGGAAAGTAAAACGGCATGAGAACTTTTAACATACTGTGTTGATTTTTATAAATGCAAGGAGTAGAACTATTGAACATATCACAAACACAATATATTATTTCTGAAGTTGGAGGAAGAAACCAGATTTCACACATGTCTAGAACAAATTGGGTAAGAGTCACTGACTGGGCAGTTCCAGTCTCAGTGTTTCAATTGCATGACTTAATTCTAGAGATTAGATGATCATAAATAATCTGAAGCTAAGCTTTTTAATAACAAGAATGTCACGGTGTTGAGTGATTGCGATATGGAATGTAAGTGCGAACAACTTTAAACACAATATTTTGGTTCCTTGTTAGATCTAGTGTATATTAATAAGAGCAGCAAGTTTGGAATCCCTACACAAACTATAGAGCATTTCCTTAAATAGTCTGTTGGCTTTCTTCCTCTTGTGTGTGGTTTGAAAAGGGGAGAGGTGAAAGTAAAAGTCAAAAACATAATGCATATTTTTGGCCTACAAAAACATACCTCCATTATGATCACGCCCTGCTTACTACCTGTGGGAGATACGTTCCAGCTGCTGTCAAGCTGCCATCAGGGACTCATGCTTTTCTGGTTCAATTTTCTCAAAGCCAGGCAGGTGACAAACAAAAAAAATGAGTTGTTGTAGTCTAATACCTGGAGAAACAACTTCAGCTAACCAGTAGGAAACATTCTTGTGGAAATGATAACCTCTTATGATATTTAACATCTTCCATTCATGCTCCATGAATATGTTTTGCTTTGCTGCCTGAGATTACATCCTCCATAATAATACGACGTCTGCCATCTCCGCCTCTCACCCTACGCTTCCCTTTACCTGCTGATAGCATGACAGGTCGTTGGCCGCAGTTGATGACAATACAAAGTGAGAAGCTGCTAAGAGGATTATCAGGTTTTGTCAGAAGCAAAGGGCGGGTAATGTTTTTTTTATATTTAATTGATCATTTTAATTGTCATTCAGCTTAAGCATGAATGACACATCACAGTGTGCATTCTGTGCTTTGTCTTCCCTGTCTTTGTTTCTTCAAAAAAGCTGTAAGTTTGCAGTGGCTAACCTGTAAATGAATGACAGATGAGACACACACACGCACACACTCATTCATACAGGAACAAGCTATTGAAAAAAACGATGTAGTAGCTGCAGTTGACCCTCCAAAAGATAAACAGCCAAGCTGTAATGTAAAGCTGTCAGAATAGTCTCCTTCCTGGTGAGAACAGTCGTCGTCTTCAGTTAGAGGTGTGAATATGATAGATGGGGCTTTATTTATAGTTGAAATTATTTTTGTCCACTTCCTTTTATTCTGAGAAGTTTTTAAAAAATCTTGACGTGCAATATTAACCTACATCTGTAAACTGTTTTTTCGACTTTTTTTTTTCTGCAGTGACTTTAATGACTAGATTGTTTTCATGAGGCTGAATAAAGGAGTGGCAAAATTCTAAATTTACCGGTAAATGCACGCCACAAAAAGTATGCCTGCTTTCTGTTCAAAGACTTGTGTATTGTTAAGGTATTGTCCTTTGACCTTTCAATTTCCCAAGAGATTTTTTTCCTGATAGCAGAGAGACCTGGTCAGTGGAAGTGAGATCATAACAATAATTTTACTGGCAAAACTGACTTTGCATGATTTGATAATTTCTTCTTATTTTCTTCTTCTTTCTTTTTTCCCTAATGTATTGTTATAATATAATGTTATAATTTTCCTTAAATGAAATAACAGACACAGATATCTGAAAAAATAAGTCGTTAAGTCACATGGAATATGACATGTAGACAAAGATGAGGCAAACAAGTAGGTGTGTGTGTGTGTGCCTGTGCCTAACTATGTTTCTGTGCACCTGCTCATAATGTATTGTTAGAATTGGGAGCCAAGAGAGTATGCAAATTAAATCAAACACAATAAATGAAACGATAAACAGATAAATGCATGAATGAAGTAAATTAAAGAAAGAAGTAAGCAAAATGAACACAAGTCATAAAGGTATCGTTACTACAGTGTATTGTGTCTATTTGCATGTGTTTTTGTTAGATGCAGTGCCTTGTCTCTGCACCCATGAACAAAAGAAAACATATTAACATTATTTGTAACTCACAACATTTGAGTAGACTAAATTTCTGTGTTAAAAAGCTCCTCTTTGTCAACATTATATTGGAGTGCACACGTGAGTTTGCATTATTAATTGCAGTTCTTCCAGCTTCCTCTTCTGTTATGTAGTTGCTGCAGGTTGTTTAATTTCTGGGGCACCATTATATGTATATTTTATGGTACTAAAGGCATCTGATAGATAATGTGTGTATATCTATATGTAAATATCCTTATTCCTTCTTTGGTCTTTTATTCCCTTCTTAAGTAAAATATGCCAGTTTATATATGATCCTTATCATGCCCATCATTGTTTTTACGGAATATTTGACATTAAAGATCACCACCAAAACCTGTAGTTGATGAAACCTATTAAATGCAGTTTGAGCTTAGCTACAGATATGCTTCAATGACTGACTCCTCTCATTCTCTTTTTTCACAATAGGTGCCAGTGATGTCCAAATCTTAGACACAGACTGAACCTTGCATCCATCATGGAGAAGAAGCCAGGCATGATGCAGCATCTCCGGCAAAAGATGCTGCCACACTTCAAGCGGGGCAAGGATCCCTTAAACAAGTTGGCTGTCCAGCTTGACCACAATCGGATGAGCTCCTCGGTTCCTGATGTAAGGAACGTGAAGCAGGATTACCCCCACGTCTCCTCCAGAGTGCCTTTTCAGCAGTACAATAGTCCCAGTTATAGCGATCCTTCCACACCGCTTGACAGGCCTTCTACGGGTCCTGTAGGAGGTGGGAGGAGTGTAAACCTTAGAGCAGGTAGTGGGAGAAAAGGGAGGAGTGAAAACAGACTGAGCGTGCCTACAAACTGCACAAACCGTTCTTCTTCCCAGGAATCATTCAACAGGCTTTGTGGAGAAGAGACATCTTCCCGGGAGACATACCAACCTGGACGAGGCATGGAGCCCGAGGAACTTGCACTACCAGAGATGATGACTGTTTACACTCCAGACAGTGCGGCTGTGGATGATTCCCTGGACAGCTCGCAGGTAAAGAAAATACTTTTGAAATAACCTTGCAGATTGGGCATCTCCACATATGGAATATTCATATAATGTTTCATATAAAGATTGAACCTTCTGGGACACTAGCACTGACGACTTGCATTTTTATTTTAAATATTCACTCATATTTTGACTTAGTAGTTCCTGTTATATCTAATACTTTGGCACAAAATTAACTGACAAGTCAGCATTTTTTTCCCCCCGCAAAAAAAAAGAAAAAAAAAAAGTTGTACATTGGCGGGGTTGAGGTATCAGGTGTATTTACACTTGACTTGCAAAGTTTAACTTGGAAGAGCTGGATATGGTTGCAAATCGAGGTCCATCCAAAATCAATAGTCTACAGTAGAACTGTGCAAACACTGCTTCTGGTGGATTCACGTCTTTGTTAAAATGACAAGGATGTAGGCTGTGAGTGCCAAACAGTCACATTTAAAACTATTGTTTGTTTTGTTTTTTTTCTTTCTTGAAGTTAAGAGACAAGATCGGTTAGATTTAACCAATTATTTTATAAATTTATAAATTGTCATCCACATTAAACGTTTTTGTTTGCTTGCTTTTTGGGACAAGTGTAAATAAGTGTATTTTATGGTATGAACTACCCATCTTGCTACACATTCCTGTTTATTGCTCCAATGATTTCATATTAAAAGAAATTTGCCATAATTGATAGAAGTTACATTTGTTCAAGTTGTAAATCTTTCTCAGACTGAGGCCTTTACACACTGCGTAAAATTTAAGCGAATATTTTGTGTGTTCATTTTAAAATATTTTTTTGAACTTTGACTCATTTACACCAACCGTGTAGTTTCACAGGGCAAAATTGGCACACCAGTACCGAATACACAATTTTATCCCAGCTAAACTCCGGGTCAGTGGTCCTCCTCAGATGTGGTCTCAACTCTACCAACAAGACCTCAAACTGACATCTTGAAATATATATGAAAGCATTGGAAACCCTGAAATTCTCCTTGCTGTTGCCTTCTTGTGAGAATCGCCTAACTACTCAAAACAAACATACACCCATAATCCGGTCTTGTGATGATGTGATGAATCCTGCTTCCGGGCCCAAACTACTCTGCGTTTAAGAAGGCTCTTGTGTTTTTAACATGTTTTAATGCTTTGCATCTTGTTCTATTAAATCTCAACAATCCCCTAAAAACAGTCAGTGATAACTGTTGGCCTCTGGGTTTTATTAC